AGTCCTTCCAATGAGCAATCAGGGTTGATTTCCTTTAAGATTGACTGGTTTGACCTCCTAGCAGTCCAGGGAATCAAGGGGGTGGGAGCTAGTTAACTGTGGCTAGTTAATAAAGCAATCCCATGGGGTTTTGGCAATGTTAGAACCACATCAGGAAGGTGTTACAATACACCCTCAGCTGAACAGTAATGGGGAAAAGGGGTATCTTTTGAAGCAGAATATCCATTAAATCTGAAGGGGATTTTACATACGCATAAAATGGTGGATGGGATTTCATAAATGTGTATTTTAAAATGGCAATCAGGATTCTAGCATACAGTATACAGATATTGTCTGTTGCATCCAAAGTTCACTAAACCAAAATCTATTAAATTGAGGGTTGATTATATCCACAGATCCTTGGGTAATCCAAATCTTTAGTTAAGGCTATTAACTAAAAAGTTTTTAAAAAATCCTTGAAATTAAAGCATGCATTTACTTTTGTGGCATCTAGTAAAATTCTCAACTGTTAATGTAAGTTCAAGGCACTATTGAACTTGCAGTATTTTTGAACGTACCTTGAGGATTTCTGCAGTGATGATGAATTCTGTCTGTTTTCCTTCAGATGACTTAGAATTGGGCCTGGATGACAGTCCTAAGAGGCTCTTAAACTTCTCCTTTAGCCCAGGATCTTTGCTTGGTGGCTTTGCCATTGTTAACTAAGATAGCATCAAGGAAGCTGTGGCGACAGAAGATTGCTTCATCAAGGGAACATAGCTGAGAGAGATACTTTCTCAATACAACCATCCCAAGACAGAACCTTAAGAGACACAAAGAAACTACAGACACCTGCAACCAACTCTATGCATGTTCAAACATGGCATGCGGGAGGCTGCCTTATGGAATACTGTACAATGCATGTCCAATTTTGTCAGGAACTCTACCCCCTTATAAAAAAAAAAAGCTACAACTGCAGCTGCTACTGAAGCAACTACCAAATTCTGTGTAAATACGTGTGCAAATATTATCAGTGTCTATGAGGAGAACCAGTGTGGTGCTCTAATTAAAAAGAAATGTATGGACAGCATCTCCAGTCCCTTTTACTCCTCTGAACCTGCTGGTTGAGCCCAAGAGCCAGACTCTCACCCAAACTGGCCTTGCAGGTTGTGATAAGTATATAGTGGGGAACTGAATGACTCTAGGTGGTCCCTCAGCTCCTTGGAGGAAAGGTAGACTATACATACAATGCAGACTTTAAAAAGAAAAAAAGCAAACAAAACCTTTCTCTTGAAATGAAACAAGGTGACTTGATAAACCAGAACCTCTGGCAATAATTAAATTCAGACCAGCAATACTGCTATTTCTTTTGATTGTACTGGAAGGCATGGCCATACAAATTAAAGCTATTTTGCCGTTTTAAAAAGCTAGTTACTACAGGAGTGTGTGTTAGGATGCTGCTTATTTATTAAGATAAATTGGTGTTATTAATCTGCCCTGTTTCCCCATTCTCAAAGTCTTAGAAATAGCCATGCTATTCTTCCCAAACGCTAATGATGATTAATCATTACAATAAACCCTATTTTTCAGCCTGGATAAAGCATTTCAAACTTTATTCTGGTAATTTAACAACTAGTGGAGTAGTACTGTATGTACAAACACTTTCTGAGCTGAAATAATAATTGTACTGATAGCGCAATAAGGCTGGTTTTATTGATCTGATTTTCATCGCAGCTTGTAAACAGTCTGTAATACCTTTAGACGTTATCATTTCTAGAAAGATATTTCCATTTAAAAAAATACAAAATGGCTCACAAGAACCTGGGATTGCTGTAACAATAAGAAAATGAGAGAGAGAACTTGGGATGCAACACGCCTCACAATTTTTACTCTGCATCACCTTACTGTCGGTTGATATGCTTGAGCAAGCTACAGTTTTAATTTGGTTTAACTGTTTCGCACGTTGCTTTGTCGGCTGCTTGCGAGTGCCTTCCGTTTGCGGAAAAGAGGAATACGAACTGAAGCAAATAAACGCGGTAGGGCACAGTTCTTGCTTTCACACGAGCCACTGGAAAATACAACTTGAGGCTCCAGGGCGGCACGTCCCCTGAAAACCTCGGGCATGGCTCCAAAAGCGATATCCCTGCAGCCCAGCACTTCGTTCAGCCCATCCAGGCACCCTCCGTGGCGTGTGCTGCTTCACCCGCCAAGGCTCCTTGCAGCTTTCAGGGCCGATCAGCGAACGGGCTGCCGCGCAGAGCGACTCTTCCACGGGGCGAGGTAAGAGAGGCGCCCCTGCGCGCAAGCGGGCCTTTGTTCAGCCCTAGGACCCGGGGCACGCCCTTCGCGCGCTCGTGTGGAGGGGGCAACACGCGTCCCCTTGGCGAAAGGGCCCCGCGGGGCGGGAGGGCTCTGCAGCCCCAGAGCAGCCGGCCCTTCGCTTCCGCCAAGGCCGGGCCGCGACCCGCCTCGGCAGGCCCTCCTCGGGGCTGGCTTCATCGCTGAGCCTCGGGGGCGCGGCGCC